CTCCCCCCTCACCCTCCTCTAACCCACTCACTCAGTCTCCCTCCCTCTCTCCCTCCCTTTCTCTCATTCCCTCTCTCTTACCCCATCTCTCTCCCCCCTCACCCTCCTCTAACCCACTCACTCACTCTCCCTCCCTCTCTCCCTCCCTCTCTCTATCTCACTCACCCCCTCAGTTTACCCAAAGCATATCATAGCCTTTTCTCATACCCTTATAGTGCACTAGGAACCCCTGACTGAGACCAAAAAGGGGGTCACCGGGGTCTGACTGGAACTGCAGGGTGACTGCTGGGCCTGAAGAGTAAATGCTGAACCGAGGATGTGGGCCCAGGTACTGGCCGAGGATCCGGGCAGTTAAGTCTCCTCCGTCAAAAACAGTCAACACATCAGATTTGCGGATGTTGAGGCTAGCAGGGGAATTGAGGAGAAGGAGAAGACAAAGAGAAAGGACTGTTGAAAGAGGAAAAGGAAAGTGAAGGAGTCCACAGCCTATTTCTGTTATTTCATGCATCCAAACTGAAGGGCAAGTGAATGCAGACACAAACACATGGATGGGAAGACAAGCATGGATTTTTCTTCAACCAGTAAGTAAAATTGGAATCTCTAAGTGAAAGAAAGTATTAATATAGATGTCAAGTTGAGTCCACTCCAAGATGATTCTGAATTAGTGCTTTGGATCCAGAGGGATCCCCAGAAGGGGGACAGATGTAAATAGTGTTAAAAGGGTAGGTGCAATTGGCCTGTCGAGGCCCTCCCCCTTCCTCACTTTTCTTACATGCATGTGATATACCTTAAAAAGAAGTGATTTCATTTGACTGTCACAGCCTCCATTCTGAAACTGTGGTGGAATGTATATCGGTAGTTATGCAGTAGTTGCTTTAGTCTGGAAGATTCTGTCTGTAGGTGAACAACAATGAAGAAACTACTTGGAAGTAATTCCTTGTGTTGTTCTTTACACTTACACAGACATTCACCATCTTGGATGCCTGCTATTTTGACCCCACATATGCAGCTTTCTTTTCAGGCTTCAAGATTCCCTACTTCAATTGCTGTATCAACTTTAATGAGCGGATTCCTTAAAGCAGCAGGATCTTTTTTCTAGGCATAGTCTTTATTAAGGTTCAATGCAACTTGTAAGAGCATTTTCATGAACCATATCTTTTGGAAAATGAAAGAGCATTTTCACAATCACTTTATTGAAAATGTGATGGGGAATCATACTCAGAGCATCTAAAAGGAGATGGATCAATTGGATCCTTTCTGTCCAATCATTGGACAGAAACAGCACTGGTCACACTGGTAGACAATCTTCATCTAGATGGAGTGCCCCTCTTAGTCCTATTACATTTTTTAATTGACATTTAAGTGCCATCATCCATGGTATCTTCTCAACCATCTGGAAGGGTTGAGGGTTAGGNTCTATTGTCATTTTAGCCTAACTTTGAAACCCCCATGGAACAGAAAATAATTAGATCTAGCAGCATAAATGCTAGATTAAATGTAGCCCTCTCTTTCTTGCACTGAACATTTAAAATGTTTCATTGTCCAGATGCTTCCTTCCACAAATATGTATCATCTGGTTGATGACCTCTAAGTACCATGTTTCCCTGAAAATAAGACAGGGTCTTATTTTCTTTTGACCCCTGAAATAAGCGCTTGGACTTATTTTCAGGGACGTCTTGTTATTTTTGAGGTGAAGGAGGTGTGAGCATGGTCATCTCATGGCTGCTGCTGTGTTGCAATATTTTTTGGGAGGGCTTATTTTCAGGGGACGGCTTATTTTAGCACATGTGCTCAAAAGCCCGATTGGCCTTATTATCTGGGGAGGTCTTATTTTCAGGGAAACAGGGTAGGAATCCTATTTGTCAGAGCAGATTATCTTCAAAGTACATAGACATCTTTCCATGAATCGATGGTATGAATGATTTAAACAATCAATCTAATGATGGATGATGGTTTCAGGAGACCATGAGGACACATTGATTTGGTTGTGTTGGGAGGCCTCCCACAAGAAAATGGGATGGTATTGATGGTGGCAGTAGCAGAAGTACCTACATCTCAATGTCTAGCAGCACCCTCTTCTCCTCCTGCACCCGGATGCCCCATACGCAGTCTTGACCTTTTCCATAAGACTGGGGCCAGTCAGGAGAAAGTACAACACCTGTTGGCTCAGAGAGCTCCCCACCACACAATGCTGGAGAGAAAAGATGCATAATCAGGAGAAGACTATAGCTTGAATGAAGCAGTGCAGCTACTCAACCAGTTTAAGCCAGTTTTAAACCAATTTCTTTTGGTACCAATAAAGGAGAATAGTTCGGGGTTGACATGAGGGATCCTTGATGCTCTCTCAGCTTGGTTGTTTTCAGGCATAGTCTTTATTAAGGTTTAATGCAACTTGTAAGAACACTTTCATTACCCAAACTAGGTACAGTGGTATCTTGATACTCAACTGCTTTGAAACTCACCCAACTTTGGTACTTAAATGCATTATGGTGTGAAACTTTTGTCCTGGTACTCATCGTTTGTTTGGTACAATATACAAGCTAGAACTTGTCAGTGTTGGTTGCCTTATGACTGATTACATTACAGAAAAAATTGTTTGGTATTCGTCATTTTTGGTACTCATTGTCCCTCCTGGAACCAATTAATGATAAGTACCAAGGTACGCAGTGGCTCAGTGGCTAAGATGCTGAGCTTGCCGATCAGAAAGGTCGGCAGTTCGGCAGCTCGAATCCCTAGTGCCACGTAATGGAGTGAGCTCTCGTTACTTTTCCCAGCTTTCTAACATAGTAGTCAGAAAGCACATAAAAATGCAAGTAGAAGGTAGGAAGGTAATAGTGTTCCATGGGCCTTTGGTATTTAGTCATGCCCCCCACATAACCATGGAGACGTCTTCGGACAGTGCTGGCTCTTCGGCTTTGAAAGGGAGATGAGCACCGTCCCCTAGAGTCGGGAACGACTAGCACATATATGTGAGATAACTTTTACCTTTATCTTACTACTCTAACATCATCCGAGCTCTGATGATCTAGTTTGGGTAATGAAATGTCTGCAAGAAAACAACTAAGCTCAGCCAGCACCAAGGATCCCTCATTTCTTTTGGATTATGAAAAATGCAATAGGGGAAGACAAATTGAACTGCCCCTTTACCTCCTGACCCTCCCCCAGAGACACACCACGCCCTGCCCTAGAATTCAAGAGAGGTAAAATTTGCCTCCCACCAAAGGCAATGACAGCCATCTTTCCTCATCTCTGCACTGCAATGTTTCTGATTCTCCTCTTTCTGTGACTCTGTCAAAATGACCCAATAATCAAATATGAGAAATTGGATTCTAGGTCATGACACTGACTAGCTGTGAAAAAATGTCACTGCAGGGGTAAGAAAGAGGATACTGGAGTTGCCATGGCATTCCTTTTTTGCAGAGACAGAGGATATCGAAAACTGGATAGTTCCTTCGACTTGTTCCAAAAAGCAGGACTAAAAGATTATAGCAATAAAGCTACCTGGGCCCTTCCACTTAAGACAGCGAATAGGATCTCCAGAGAAAATGCAAAAGTCAAAATGGATAGAGTAAGAAAGACCAAGGGAGTAAAGGATATCTTCTACAGTAAAGAGGACTCTCAGTATTTCCTTTTCTGCCACTGGAAGAGAATAGCCTGAAAACTGGGACATGCAGTAAAAAGAAGTCCCTGGGAGGGTTGGGGATAAAATTCTGCAAAGGACTTGCAGCATTATTTTGACAACATAGGAAGACAAAATCCATGTAGCAGGTCTGCAGGGATAACTCAAAAGAGATCACAATCCAAAGGCCTGAAAACGAAATCCAGTCACTTGGCCCACAGAACAGAAATATCAGGGGTGAAATGCTACCAGTTTGCGGGAACCGGAAGAGACAATTGTCATTGGTTCTGTAAACTAGTAGTAAAGAAAAGCTTCAGGGGATTGCACTGCTCAGCTGTGAGCTGTGTGATCATCGGAAGCTCCCCCCCCCTCCCCGCCGCTTTTTAAAGCTTTTTTTTTTTTGCCTATTCGCTTGAACCAGTAGTACAAAAATGCTTTTAAAAGTGGGGGGGGGAAGGTTCCCACAATCGCATGGCACAGCTGAACCTTTTTTTTTTTCATTTCTTAAAGCATTTTTCATACTGGTTTGGACGAATTGGTAGTAAAAAATGCTTTAAAAATTTAAAAATGTTGGCCACGGCCACCCAGCCACATGACACACACACACAGACACACCCAAGCTATGCCTGCAAGGCATGCCCAGAGAACCGGTGGCAAAAAAAAATGCATTTCACCACTGAGAAATATCATCTGGAAAAAATAACCCATATATACCCCAGGGTGAAAGTCAAATGAAAGTCAATTAAACCAATTTAAGAGATAAAGCACTGCAACATTTATTTGTATTTGCTGCCAAATCCCATATAAATCACTGGGATTCTTCCAAGTTTGTACTTCTAATTCAGTTAAGACTGGGATGAATGTCAAATATGCTCATGAAGGAAAGAAATGGCAAATTTATAGTGCATTTCCCTGGCAACTCAGGGTAACTCTTGTCAGCTTCCCATAAGGAAAACAGTATTTAAATGTCTTGAGAATGAAGACAGCGGAGGAGAGTTGATGTTTTCTGAACATGAGATTCGGAAGGTTGTATCATTCTCTCACCCCTCTCAAATCTGATGGAGTGACTAGAAGATCACTAGTAGTGACCAGAAGATTGGGAAGATCCCATTTTCCTTTCACTAGATTGAGGAAGGCCCATGTCCACCCTTGCAACTGGAAGTGGAGGCTCCTTTTTCTCACCCTCATTTGAGATGCTGAGCTGAAGCATAAGGGCACTCTATCGAACAAGCATCACATCAAAGATGGACATCAAAACCCAGAAATGGTTGCCTGCTGTGTCCAAATCCAAAATTCCTAGACTGGTGCCCTTTTGATGGGTGATGGGGGGAACCAGTTGCCTACTTGTGCCAGGTTCTA